TCCTAACGCTGCCATCCTAATGCTGCCATCCTAATGCTGCCATCCTAGTGCTGCCATCCTAGTGCTGCCATCCTAATGCTGCCATCCTAGTGCTGCCATCCTAGTGCTGCCATCCTAGTGCTGCCATCCTAGTGCTGCCATCTTAATGCTGCCATCCTACTGTCCCCTTGCACTCAGGGTATCGGGGGTCCCTTCCAACTGGGCACGTTCTGTGATCTGACCCCAGTTGTTGCTCCAGCTGTCGCTCCCAGCTTCACGTCCCCCACTTTTCCCAGGCAGTCACCCCCAGAGCTGCCTCCCCGTTTTAGGACCCCTCCCCAAAGCCGAGGGGACCCCGCGTGGCACGCAGGGAGTGGTGCAGAGCCATGTGTTCCCCATTAGGGCCCTTTGATGGAGGTACCCAGCGCAGGGAGCCAGCAGGGCTTTGATGTGCAGCCAGCAGGGACGCCCCGGCCCTAATTCACTCCACTCAGGGATTGCTCTCAGCCATAAAACTTCCATGGGAGCGTTTTATTGAAGCCCAGAGCTGCTTTTACTGTGGGACTTTGCAGCTCTGCTGCTCTTCCCCATCCCTTAGCAAAGATGTTGGCTCTGTGGTCACCCCAGCTTGGTGCCCAGCATAGCCAAACCCCCGTGCCACCGAGCCATGCTGGCGGATAGGATGAAGCCAATGGATCATAATTAGGCTTTCACAGGCATGAAATAAACGGGGAGGGGGGAAGCTCTGCTTTCCTCCCCCTCGCCTCCAGCTAAACATATTTCAGCACTCCTAATGCCGACCGCAGCGCTCGGCCCCTCCCTCCCCAAAGCAGCCCCAGAAGCAGCTCTGGCCATTCTGCTTTTTTTTCCCAAAGAAAACAATAGGGTGAGAGTTGGGCATTGCAGCCCTGCTCCTCCTGTTGGGTTCGTTCCGGCGTGGAGGAGCCGGGTTTGAGAAGGGGGGCTGGGGAGGGGGATGTAGAGAAGGTGGATTTGGGGAGGTGGATTTGGAGGAGTGGATGTGTGGAGGCAGATATGGGGAGGCATACAGAGAGAATTTGATGTGGGAAGGCAGGTCTGGGGATGTCGATTTGGGGAGGTGGATTTGGGACTGTGGGTTTGGGGTTCTGCATTTGGAGAAGTGGATTTGTAGAGGCGGATTTGGGGAGGTGGATTTGAAGGGAGTGGATGTGTGGAGGATGGAGGCAGATATGGGGAGGCAGATTTAGAGAGGTGGGTTTGGAGAGGCGGAGTTGGGAAGGTGGATTTGAAGAAGCGAATTTAAGGAGGCAGATTTGGGGAGGTGGATTTGGGATTCTGCATTTGGAGAAGTGGATCTGAGGAGATGGATTTGGAGAAGTGGATTTAGGGTGGCAGGTGTTAGGAGGTGGATTTGGGGGAGCTGCGTTTGGAGGAGTGGTTTTGTGGAGGCAGATTTGGGGAGGAGAGTTGAGAGAGATTTGGGGAGGGGGGGTTTGGGGAGACAGATTTGTAAACGTGGGTTTGAGGAAGTGAATTTAGGGAGGAAAATCGGGGAGAGGTGGATTGGGGAAGGTGGGCAGCACACCTGTACCTCTCAGTGCTGCTGGAGCGCAGGGAGGAGACAAGAGATGGCAGCAGTGGTGACATGCAGGGTGGGCTCTTGGGCAGCTTGGTAGAGGGTCTGTGTGTGGCTCTGTGGACACATTCTTGCTGGTGAAACCTTTGGGCATGCAGGTGCTGCTGAAGTCACACTTTTTGGCTGCTGTGTTTCTATTGGGGTCAGGGGATGGCATCCCCTGGGGGGGAGGTGTGGGGTAAGGCTGTGATGTCCGCCGTGGGGAAGGAGGTGGTTGGGGTGAGGTGTGCCCTCCTCTCTCAATCCAGAGCTGACACAGCAAAGCTGCTTCATTAATTCCAATCTTCTCTTCCTATCTTTCTATCTCCCCTCCCTCCCTCCAGTCTTCCAAGAAGCCCAAGACTGCGGAAGCAGACACGTCGAGCGAGCTTGCCAAGAAGAGCAAGGAAGTCTTCAGGAAAGAGGTGAGTTATCCTGAGCCCCAGCACCACGGCGTTGGGCAGGGCTGGGGCTGAGCTCTGTGCCTCTCCTGCAGATGTCTCAGTTCATCGTGCAGTGCCTCAACCCCTATCGCAAACCCGACTGCAAGGTTGGCCGCATCACCACCACCGAGGACTTCAAGCACCTGGCACGGAAGGTGAGGGCACCCCGTGGCTTATGGGGTGGCTGTGGGGTTCTGTGGAGTCGTTGAGGAGCAGGGGAGGGAAGTAGGGATGGTTTCCGAGAGGGAGGCTGAATAGGAATACCAGGGAAAGGGGTGCTTGGGCCGGGAGGTGACGGCCTCGAGCTGAGCCAGGGGAGGTTGGGGTTGCATTTGAGGAGGAACTGCTTCTCCAGGGGAGTGGTGATGCAGCAGCAAAGGGAGTGGTGGGGTCAGGTGTTCCTGAAGTGTGGAGGGGTGGCACTGAGGATGTGGTCAGTGGTCAGGGCTGGGTCGGGCTAGGGGATGCGAGAGGTCTTTTCCTAACCATGGTGTGATCCTGTGCTTCTGTGCTCTACCAAACCCCTGTGTTGCCCAGCTGACGCACGGCGTCATGAACAAGGAGCTGAAATACTGCAAGAACCCAGAGGACCTGGAGTGCAACGAGAATGTGAAACACAAAACGAAGGAGTACATAAAGAAATACATGCAGAAATTCGGGGCCATCTACAAACCCAAAGAGGACACGGATTTGGAGTGACCGCCTCGACCCCCCGGCGCCGCCATTGCCCTCAGCTGGGGGTGCTGTGCTGGGGGTGCTGTGCTGGGGATGCTGTGCTGGGGGTGCTGTGCTGGGGGGCCCCGTTCAGCTCCCAGCCACCACGGAGATGTGTATTATATTTTAACCTATATGTGAATATATTGAGGGTTTTCTTTTCCGTTGGTTCGTTCGTCGGTTCGTTTTCCTTTTTGCTTTTAGCCCAACACGTGCTGTTATCACGGGAACACTTTGTAAGGATAGTTTTGGGGTTTTTTTTTTTTCCTTTCGTTTTGTTTTGTTTTCTTGTTTTTGTTCTGCGAGGTTTCAATCTGTTCTCATGTAAATATTCCGGAACGGGTTGCCCCTGAATTTCTGGCAGCCTTGTGCTATGTTGATAAGATTGATTTTACTGCTTAAATCATTTTACTTTATCCAATTTTTACTGAACTTTTTATGTAAAAAAAAAAAAAAATTAAAAAAAATAAAAATAAAATGAAATCAATGCTGTGTCCGACCTGGGAGGGTATTGGGCAGAGGATGGGGGTGGGGATGGACCTATGGATGGCACGGTGTGGAGCTGGGTGGGTTTGGGTTTTGGATGCTGCTGTGTGGAGCCACGAGTCCTGATGGGACCCTTCCAACTCCAGGTATTCCACCATCCTCAGCAGCCCTTCGTTGTCATTTGGGGTTGGGATCCCCATCCGCCCTGTTGGTTTTGCCCTCAGGATGAAGGGAGTTGGGTTTCGCTGGCAGGGGTTGGAAGTGCTCCTTTGTGTCCCTGTGCTGCTGAGCTCAGGGCTGTCCCCAAAGCAAGGCCCACGAAGGGAGTGGGGAACCGTGGGATGGAGCGGCTGCGACAAACCAGCGACACGAAGGCACGTCGGCTGTTTAATGCAAAGACCACAAGGCAACAGGCACGCAACGTCCCGACCCCACGCTGGGACCCCAAAAATACAAAAAAGGACATTTCCCCCACCCCCCTGAAGTACAAAAACGACTTAAAAAAAAAACACCCCAAGAGTAATACGGCAGGATAAAGCTGCTGGTGGCCAAAGCCTCACCCACCCAACGGGGCCGCGCATCCCCGCCTCCCATCCTCCTCCTCCTCCTCACCCCGCGGGGGCACCAGGACCCCCCGGCTGGGCTCACACCATTGAGCTGGCATCTCCCGGCCCCGCCAGGCACTCGGCCACGTCCTGCCGTCCCATAGCAGCCAAAGCCAGGCACAGGGCTTCCACGGTGGCCCCTTCTGTGGCTGCCCAAGTGGCGAGCAAGGTGCGGGCGGGCGCCTGGCCGCGGGCGAAGGTGCCGATGGCCTCATCCCCGTAGCCCAGGCGGGCGGCCAGCCCACGCCAGTCCCCGCTGGGACCACCGCTCTCCAGCAGCCGTTCCACCTCCTCCCGTCGCTGCTGTGGGATTGAGCTGTAGGCTCGAGCTTCCAGACGGGGCGCTGTGGGTTTAAGGTCAGCGTTGACGCACCAAAAGTTGCACCGGTGACCCCACCAGCTTCCCCCCGGTGTTGCCGCTCCTGTGGCATCCCCCGCTCCCTGCATGGGTGCTCCCAACCCTATCTGGGTGTTCTTCTGTGCAAAGGTGCACCCTCACCCCCCATTCGGATGTTCCTTAAGGGATGGGCGTACCCAAATCCCATCTGGGTGCTCCCGACCCCATCTGGGTGCTCTCCGAACTATGGGTGCTCCCCAGACCCATCTGGATCATTTGCCAGGTCCCCAACCTCATCGACATGATCCACAAGCCATGGGTGCTCTTCAACTCCATCCAAATCATCCCTAAAGTACGGGTGTTCCCCAAACCTATGGACATGATCCCGAGGTATGGCTGCTCCCCCACCTCATCCAGATCATCCCCGAGTACCGTGTGCTCCCCGATCCCATCCAGACAATCCCCAAGGAAGGAATGTGTGCTTTCCAACCCCAATCCATGATCCCCATTGTGTGGGTGCTCCCCAAGCCCATCAGCATTATCCCCAAAGGTCTGGGTGCCCCCCAACCCCATTAGATCACTCCCAAGCATTGGCTGGCCCTCAATCTTGTCCCTAACGCATGGGTGTTCCCCGGCCCTATGGGGATGATCCTCAATACATGGGTGCTCCCCAGTCCCAACAGATGATCCCCAAGATATGGGTGCTCCGCAGCCCTATTTGGATTATCCCCAAGGATGAGGTGCTTCCCTGTGTGATCTCAAAGGTACGGATGCTTCCCAACCCAATTTAGGCAGCACCAATCCCTCCACAAGACCTCCATCTCCCTTAGATGCCTCCAGACACGGGGTGCTCCTTCACCCCATCCCACCACAGCCAAAGAAATGACGGGACAGCCCACCCCCCCCCTCCCCCACACACACACCCCCCCAGCTATGGGTGATGCTCACCCTTGCCGATCTGGTGTGGCTCCTGCAGGCTGTGTGTATCCAGGAACACCCCGCTGTCACTGTGCAGCTTCTCACCCTCGGCCGCAGTCCCCAGCTCGGCTGCTCGTGCCTTGGCCAGCTGCTGCTTCTGCCTGCACGTGTGCCAGCTGCGCCACGTCACCCACCGTCCCCTCACCCCCAATCCCCCACCCCCAGAAAGCCCAAACCTACCACTTGAAGGCCACGTAGGCGAGGAGACCCACCACCACAGCAGCCAGGAGGGAGCAGTACACGGGGATGATGTTCTGCCCCACGTCCTCAGGGAGGGGAGGGACGAAGGTGGAGGCGGAGGTGGCTGAGGCGGTGGGGCCTGTGCTGTTCTCCTTGGGGAGGTTTCCTTCGGCCCGTTTTGGGATATGCGGGTCCTTCTCTGTGGGAATGAGGGATTAGAAAACCCTTCATGCCCCCACTGATGCCGCTGCCTCAGTTTCCCCCTGGAATGGGGTGGGGGTACCCAAAACGGCAACCCCAGTTGGGACCAGAGTAGGTCCTGGGATGGGAGGAAATCAGATCCAGTACTATGGGGTTAAAGGGAGAGGTGCCCCCTCCCATCGAACCTCCCCCATCCCTTCCCAACCACATCAAAGCCCCAATGCCGGCAGCGCCGGGAGCATCTGCTGCATGCGGGGCGTGATGACAGCCATGGGGCAGCAGCTGGCGATGGTGGGGAGGGGGGAATGTGGGTGGTGGGGGGCTCCGAGGCCGCCTCGGACCCCCCAAAGAGTGGGCATCCCCCCCCCCCCCCCCCCCCCGCCCCGCGGGCGCGGGGCCCTGGGGTCAGCATCCCTGGATGTATTCCAGAACAGTGGAGATGTGGCACCGAGGGATGTGGTCAATGGGCACGGTGAAGGTGGGCTGGGGTTGGACTCGGGGGTCTTATCTTTTCCAACCTTAGTGATTTGGGAGGCTCAGAGTACGGGATGTGGGGATAAGGGGAGCTCTGGGGTCACCCCGTGGCACAATGCACCTCCTTTTTTCTCTGCTGTGCACCCTAAGAGCGAGGAGTGTGCCTCAGTGCTACAGATGGGGAAACTGAGGCACGGCCCCGCGGCATCCCATAGGGACTCGCTCACGCAGAGCGTGCTGGAGAGGCGGCTGCACGCATGGTGCATCACTTGGCCAGGCTCACAGCCAGGCTGGAGTGGGTGGCAACAAGGGAAGGCGTGGGGCTCTGGGGTGGCACTCACTCTGGGCGCAGGGCTCACACTGGGTGTCGCTGAGGCCGCAGGGCACGGCCGCCCCGAAGCCTGGAGGGCAGGAGGAGCAGCACTCACCGGACTGAGTGCAGGCACCGCTGGGGCACGGCGGGCTGCGGGCCGACACCTGCCCAGAGACATGGGGGAGTCATGTGGGGCGTCCTGCAAACGGCCACAGCTTCCCCGAACCCACAGCGCCACGTCCGCTTAACTGCCCAGCACGTCCCCTTAACTCTGCCCTGCATCCCTTTGACTCTGCCCATCCTATCCCCTTAACTCTGCCTTCCCATCCTCTTAACTCTGCCCATCCCATCACCTTTACTCTGCCCAGCATATCCCCTTAACTCTGCCCTGTATCCCCTTAACTCTGCCCAGCACATCCCCTTAACTCTGCCCAGCACATCCCCTTAACTCTGCCCTGCATCCCTTTGACTCTGCCCATCCCAACCCCTTAACTCTGCCCCATCCCATCACCTTTACTGTGCCCATCTCATCCCCTTAACTCTGCCCTGTGTCCCTTTGACTCTGCCCCATCCTATCACCTCAAGACTCCCCGTCTCATCCCCTTAACTCTGTCCTGTCTCACTCCCTTAACTCTGTGCACCCCATCGACTCTGCCCATCCCCTTAACTCTGCCCATCCCATCCCCTTAACTCTGCCCATCCCCTTAACTCTGCCCACCACATCCCCTTAACTGCCCCATACCCCCTTAACTCTGCCCTTCCCACCACCTTAACTGCATCCCCCACTCAAAAACCCACAAACTCCTCCATCTGTCCCCCCACCAAAGAACCCCCCCCCTCCTCCCCAATTTGGGGGCTGCTCAGATTACCCCTCCCCACAAAAAAAAAAAACCCAGTTGGCCCCACCAGGGTTGTGTGGGGCCGTATCCTGAGTGGTGCTGAGATGGGGAGGGTCGGGGGGGTCCCAGTCCCATGTGGGTCCCACACGGTGCCCCTGGCCCTCAGCTTGCAGCCAGATGGGGTGGAGGGAGGGGGGGGGGGAGGTCCCATGCATGGAGAGGGGGAGAGGGAGGGGGTTGGGGAACATGCAGGGAAATAATGTGGGGAAATAGGGCAAAATAAGGCAAAATAGGGCAAAATAGGGCAAAGAGTGGCAAAACAAAGTAAGATAAACAAAAGTTAAATGATGTAAAACAAAACAACAGAGGAAAACAATATAGGAAAATAATGAGGAAAATAAAGAATGCAGGAAAATAAAGTCGAATACGAAGGGTAATAGAGGAAAATTAAGGAAATTAAAAGAAAAATAAAGCAAAATGCAGTAAAAAAAGGCGAAGTAAAATAAGATGAAGTAAAATGCAGTAAAATACTGTGAAATAAGGAAAAATAAAGCAAGATGCAGCAAAATAAGTAAAAATAAAATACTGTAAAGAAAGGTGAAGAATGTTAAGAATAAGTGCAGTAAAATATGGTAAAATAAGGAAAATAGGGCAAAATTTACAGTAGAGTAAAACGAGACGAAGTAAGGCAGCAAAACGAAGGAGAAAGCGCAGCGATGTGCAGGGAAGCAGAGTAACACGGGCCGAAAGAAAGCAGAATGCGACAAAGTAACGCAAGGAAAAGGGGAAAGGACGGAAAGTAAAACAAACTTGAACAGGGCAGAGAGAAAGAAAGCAGAATAACGCCACAAGGGAAGAGAAAAAAAGAGCGGACCTGCGGGCAGAGCGGCGCGGACAGCAGCAGGCACAGCGCCCGCGATAGGCGCAGCGCCGCGCAGCTCCACCGCATGGCGGGGCCGGGCCCCACGGGGCGCTGCTCAGCTCGGTTCGGTCCGGCTCGGCTCGGCTCGGCTCGGCTCGGCGCGGTTCGGCTCCGCTCGGTTCCGCCCGCTCTCGTCTCCGCTCCGCTCGGCTCGGCTCGGCGCTGCCCCGCAGGGAGGGGCGCGGCGCCACGCCATTGGCTGATGTGTGTGGGCGGGGCCAAAGGACGCCACGCCCATCGCCGCTCGGCTCGGTCCGGAGCGGTTCGGGACGGGGTTCGGGACGGCGGAGGCGGGGGTGGGTTGGGTCGGGTCGGACTCCAGCGGGTTCGGTTTGGTCCGGAGCATTTTGGACTGTTTGAACCCAGTTCAGCCTTGTTCAGCTCAGGTCCGGCCCAGTTCAAATGGTTCCGATTGTGTTCAGATGGTGTCCTGCGCCCTTCAGCCCCGTTCAGCCCAGCTCAGCCTGGTTCAGCCCCATTCAGCCGGGTTCATCCCAGCTCACCCAATTCCCCCCACCCTCAGCCCGGGTTCTGTAGGCTCATGTGGCCTCTGCATGTCCCAGTTCAACTCCACTGTTCTCCCAGGACCCCACGGAGCAATCCCCATTCCCCCCATATGCCCATCACCATCTCCACAACCCACCCTGCCCCACGGCTGTGCCTCCTGGGCCTGGTGATTTCAATGGGGCAGTTATAGGCTGACAAATAGGATGCCGTCCTCACGGCCTTCACTGAGCCCCAGAAAGTCCCAGTGCTCCCCCAAAAAGCATCCAGAAATGGGAAAAGTGACTTTATTGACCCCTCCTGAGGAAGTGGATGCAGAATCTCAGCACAAATATGGGATCTCAGCATGATTGTAGGATCTCGGCGTGGGTGTAGGATCTTGGTGTAGCCGTAGAATCTCAGCATGGGTTTGTGGGATCTCAATGTGAGTATAGGGTCTTGGGTGTGGGATCTTAGGATGTGTATAGGAACTCAGCAGGGATGCAGGACATTGTCATGGGTGTAGGATCTCAGTGTGGGTGTAGGATCTCAACATGGGTGCTGGAATAGGCTGTCCAGAGAGGCTGTGGATGCCTCGTCCATGGAGGTGTTCAAGGCCAAGTTGGATGGGGCCCTGGGCAGCCTGGTCTAGTATTGAATGTGGAGGTTGGTGGCCCTGCCTGTGGCAGGGGGTTGGAAATTCATGATCCTTTGGGTTCCTTCGAACCCCAACCATTCCATGATTCCATGATCTTGGTGTAGGTGTGGAATCTCAGCGTGAGTGCAGCAGGATCTTGGTGTAGGTGTAGGACTTGCAGATGGGCACAGGATCTCAGCATGGATGCAGGACATGATCAGGGCCGCAGGATCTCAGTGTGGTTTCATTATCTTGACGTAGGCGTAGGATCTCATCATGGGTGTAGGGTGTCTCATCATAGATGTAGGATCTCTCATTATGGGTGTAGGATC